GGGATAAAAGAACTCGGTCTTAGCTGGATTCAGAATGTGAATGTAAGCAGGGAATGGCTCTGTAGAAAATGCTGTGAAGCTGAATAGAATTTGATAGGTGCTGTGAAAGGAGAAACGTGCTGGAGACACCAGAAAAGCAGATATTGAAAACGGCAGGGGAGCAGCACTGCAGAGTGGCATCTGCACTTATTCAGAAACAGCGGCACTGACAGAGGCTCGGATGGACCCAGGTGGTGACTGGGTGGGAGCCCACGAGGGCTCCAGTCCCTAGGTGAGCAAGCGAAACAAGAGTCAGCAGGGTGAGAGCCATGCCTGCCTACGATTACCGTTAAGATATGCCTCGTGACGGACAAGGGACTTCTTTATTAAGTGTGGAAGGCTGACATGCGACTGGGGGCCAGAACCTGTTCCAAGGATTTCCAGTCCCCATCCCCAAGAGAAGGAGTCGCTGCACAGTGCTGTTGACTGCCATTGGACATGAGACAAGGATGACACGCATGATGCGCAAGATGAGCTGGAAAATTGATTGTGCAAATTATTTTGAGGCGAAATGGGGCCAGTGTAATTAGGGATGGTGAAAATGAATTTGGAGTTAGAAGTTTCCATTTTGGATCGCTGCTGCCTGTGTCCATGGGAACAAATACATTGCGAGCATACTTTCTATTGATGTCGTCCAAGCCCTTGAGTTAAGCCAGTTGAGGGGCAGTGATGACCTCATGGCGGTTGAACGAGTATAGTTGAAGAGTGAAAGGGAAGTAAACAGAGAATAAAGCCAGCACATGGGCTGAGGTGGAGGAGAATTGAAACCAGGAGTCAATCAGCCTGGCAGAGGGTGAGAGGAAGAGAGGAGGAAGGAGAACAGGAAGAAAAAGGAGAAGAAAGAAAACCAATACAGAGTATTGAGGTTTGGTGATTTTTTTTCATTTTTTTTAAGGTGGGGTGTCGTGAGGAGGGTGTTCGGTGCCTTCTTTTGTTGAGACGAGAGTCTCACTCTGTCACCCTGGGTGAGTGCAATGCATTACTGTAGCTCACTGCACTCCAGACTCCTCTCAACGCAAGCCTTCTGCCTCAGCATCCAGGATAGCTGGACTAACGCTCACATCTGCAAGCCAGGCTGGTTTTTTGTCTTTTTATTTTTGTGGAGATGGTGGTCATCAGCTCTTCTCAGACTGGTTCAAACTCCGCTGGCTTCGGAGTCCTCCTGCCTCGCCTCCTAGATGTCTAGGTATTAACAGTCATGAGCCATGCGCCCAGCCAGGTGTGGTGAGTTGACCAAGGCACTGAGCTGTGAAGCGCAGAGGAGGGTCGCCAGAGATTGAAGGCTGATAATCTGCACTCTAGTAGCATTCCTCACGATGTCCATGTAAGAGGGAAACACCTTGTCCAGTCATGGGAGGCATGCAACATGCAAATGCGAGGCATGAGAGACATTGTGCGCAAACGGCTGGAAATAAGTTGATTCCCATGGCTAGAGTGCAAGGTTGAAATGACGTGTTGAGATGGGTTCTGTTCTGCTTTAGATCTTTGGACAAGTATACAACACTAACTCTTTAACTTCACTGACTGTAAGCAAGTAACATCTGCTGTAGACTTTGCTGCCCTTGCCAAAGACCAGCCGAAGCATAGTGCAGCAGTCCACCACATTTTTACCTGGGGCCCAGTGTCCTAACAGCTCCCAAGAGACAAGCTTGAAGGCCTGGGCACCTAGGAGGCCCACCCTTTCTTGTCCACATAAGTGGAAAAACGCGGGAGTCCCCATTATGGCAAAGTGATTGCTGAAACCAGGAGTTCATACTCTAACAAGATAAGAAAGAAAGAATTAGCCACGTTGTGTAGCTTCTTATGCCTGTCATCCCAGCACCTTGAGAGCTGAAGCGGTGAGGATGCACTTGGGGACCTGAGTTTGAGACCAGGCCTGGACAACATAGAGCAGACCAGTATCAGCGAGAGTGTGAAGTTAGTGGGTGGGTGGTGGTGGTGTAATGCTGTACCGTAGCCGTGCGTGTGAGCGTGAAGCAGAAGGTGCGTTGAGCTAGGAATTTGGAGGTCGCGTGTGTGTGTGTCGTGTCCACCTGTCGTCTAAAATTAAATGAAGAAGAAGAGGAGAGAGAGAGAGAGAGAAGAGAGTAGGTCAGAGAGTCTGAGCTATTGTGAGCAAGAGTTGTATCCATGCCCAGAGGAGACAGAGTTATCGGGCTTCGCCCCCTGAATCCACATGCCCAGGGCACTTGTTGAGCGTCATTTGTGTGCGGTGAGCTAGCTGCGCAGCCCATTATCCTGAGCGTGAGTGTGCGTACAAAGAACAATTAGAGCCAACCTAATAGCGTGTGAGTGTGTAATTATAAATTTATCGGTAGTAACCAATTGTAGAAATTGCTCTCTTCGTTTTAAAAACCCACTTGGTAACTAGCTGCAATCAAAGCACGTACACAGACAACTGGATCCATGCTCCCAATGTAGCGCGTGCGTGAAATAAACTCGTCTACTTACATTAAGTTTGCCTCAGTTATTTTCCTTCTGCACAGACATAGCCCACAAATTGCCTGCTACTCCCAGTGTAGTGTTTGTCTCTTTTGAGGAGCTTGTTTTGCTTGTGTTGATGAAGAAAAAGAACTTCCTAGTGGGTCGTTTGTGAAGTTGTTGGTGAAAGTGGACAATGCTGATTACAAAGGTTGACGCTTGATCGCGCGCCCTTTGTTTCCCTATGTACGTCGTGGTGCTCCGCCTTTCCTGTGTGTGTGGTGCTCGCCGCGTCGGCCGCGCGCGCTCTGCTGTGTGTGTAGTCTCTGTGTGTCTGTCGTGTGTGTGCGCTAGTCTATTGTGGGTGTGGTGCGAGAGTTGGGTGGAGTCGCGCTCCCGGGTGTCTGACTGCGGAAGTGACGTTAGAAAGGCCCCCTGAGGAAGCGACGAGAAGAGTGCCCGTTGACGGGCGGGGAGGGCTGTGCCATCTCTCCGCTCGCGCTGCAGGAGGTAGGAGGCCCGTAGGGGTGGCTCCGAGGTGGTGTGCAGCGTCAGGAACGCTGCAGCGCGTTCTAGCACGCTGGGCCTAGCGGGCGGAGGCCCCGGGTGGCGGGAGCCTGCCCGACGAGAGCCGGCGCGCCTTGGTGGCGGCCGACTTCCAGTTTCGGCCATACGTCCCGTTTTTGTTGGTTCCCCCAGTACCTGGCCTGTGTAGTGTCCTGCCTAGATTGTTGCGGTTACCCTTTCCTGATCCTTCGACAACCCCATTTTTTCCTCCTTAATCTCCAATTAAAACACTTTTCAAAATAAGCAGTCGATGGAATACGGACTGTGCAGACAGCTTTGGGTTCCAATGTTGGCTATTCATTTAATAGTTGGGTTACTTGGGGCATGTTACTCTAACTTACTTGAGCCTCGGATTCTTTTGTGCTGTAATATGGCAATATATAGCAATTAAGTTGATCTGGGAGGACCGATAATATATGTAAGGCAGGTTGGCCCGTAGGAGCTGCTTGATAAATATTGGTTCCTCCTTCCCATTCTTATGTTATAATGCCACCTAAATACTGATTTCTCTTTGGTTGTCAACCCAGTTTTCTTGTCCTGTTTGCCTACCCATTCTTCTTCCTTGACTTTTTCCTTCTTCACCTCTACTCCACAAATCTTATATTATTTCCTTGCATTTTGCTTCTAACTTGAGGCCCTCAGTATCCCATATCCTTTTTTTTCTATTGCGTTCACTTCCTGTTGTGTGCTCCAACTCTTTTTGCTTCTTTCCTTTACAGATGGCTCAGCGAATTCTCCTGAGGAGGTTTCTGGCCTCTGTCATCTCCAGAAGCCCCCTCAGGGTCAGTGGCCACCCCTCACCTCTGGGCCTTCAGACTCCACAGTGCAGTCCTGGTGGCCTGACAATAACCCCAGCCCAGCCGGACAATATGTACCACCAGAGTCCTTTCAACAACCTTTAACATCCAGGATGGACCTGACTTCCAAGACCGAGTCGTCAACAGTGAGACACCAGTGGTTGTGGATTTCCATGCACAGTGAGTACTGGGGTCAGCAGAAGGCTAAGGTCTCACTTGTTCAAGTATTTATTGAGTGCCTGTTACATCACAGTACCATGTTCAGTGCCTCTCAGACATACACTCATTACAAAGTCTGGGGAGACTCAGTCCCTGCTCCCAACAAGAGTGCAGTCTGGTAGGAGACAGACTAGTGAACAGTCTTCAAAGCTGACTGTGATTAGTGTTGCAAAACACTTACATTCTGTATCTTTTTTTTTTTTTTTTTTTTTTTTGAGACAGAGTTCACTTTGTGTCCAGGCTAGAGTGAGTGCCGTGGCGTCAGCCTAGCTCACAGCAACCTCAAACTCCTGGGCTCAAGCATCCTTCTGCCTCAGCCTCCGAGTAGCTGGGACTACAGGCATGCGCCACCATGCCCGGCTAATTTTTTATATATATATCAGTTGCAATTAATTTCTTTCTATTTATAGTAGAGACGGGGTCTGCTCTTGCTCAGGCTGGTTTCGAACTCGACCTTGAGCAATCCGACCCGCCTCAGCCTCCAAGAGCTAGGATTACAGCGTGAGCCACCAGCGCCCGGCCTTTTTTTTTTTTTTTGAGACAAAGCAGTTGCACTCTGTTGCCCTGTCTAGAGTGCCATGGTGTCAGCCTAGCTCACAGCAACCTCAAAACTCCTGGGCTCAAGCAATCCCAATTCTACCTCAGCCTCCTGAGTAGCTGGGACTACAGGCATGCACCACCATGCCCGGCTAATGTTTTCTATATATTTTAGTTGACCACTTAATTTCTTTCTATTTATAGTAGAGACGGGGTCTCACTCTTGCTCAGGCTGCTTTCGAACTCCTGACCTTGAGCAATCCACCCGCCTCAGCCTCCCAGAGTGCTAAGATTATAAGCATGAGCCACCGCGCCCTGCCTAAGTTCTGTATCTTACTGCCTGAAAAGCTCAGAGTCATCTTCAGTGTGGACCAAATTTGGAAAAATATGACTATAGCATCACCTGGCTTTCAGTGTATACTAGTTTGTGGCCCTGCAGATTTGATTTGATTATAACATCTTGCCACCAAAAACTATGGGAATGGCTGGCAAAAAGTTATCAGTGCTACCACAGTCATGCCCAAGCATGCAGCTGATGGGCAGGAATTTCTTTTTAGTTCTATATGAGTTTGTTTTAGAGAGATGTAAGTACCTATGGCCTTCTTCATTTATAGACCTTTAGGGCCGGCTAGCTACCAAACTACAAAAAAATTAGACAAACCCCTCAGAATGAGGCATCCTGAAGGAAGCCAGTGTAGCCTAAGTTAGAAATTCAGAGGCCTTCTGGTTCTTCCTCTGACTCACCATGTCACCTTGAGCAGGCTATTTGATATCCTTGTGCTCCTTTTTTCACTTGAAATAGGAGATAAGGGCTTGCAGACTAGATTTTTAGGTGTTATGAGTTCATTGAGTGAAATCTTATAGGAAGATTTTTGGTTTGTTTTTTGTTTTGTTTTATTTTGTTTTAAGAAACAGACATCCAAGGCCGGGCACGGTGGCTCACGCCTGTAATCCTAGCACTCTGGGAGGCCAAGGCGGGCAGATTGCTCAAGGTCAGGAGTTCGAAACCAGCCTGAGCAAGAGCGAGACCCCGTCTCTACTATAAATAGAAAGAAATTAACTGGTCAACTAAAAATATATATACAAGAAAATTGGCCGGGCATGGTGGTGCATGCCTATAGTCCCAGCTACTCGGGAGGCTGAGGCAGGAGGATTGCTTGAGCCCAGGAGTTTGAGGTTGCTGTGAGCTAGGCTGATGCCACAGCACTCTAGCCTGGGCAATAGAGTGAGACTCTATCTCAAAAAAAAAAAAAAAGAAAAAACTGATTGGAGAGGAGCCTCTCTTTGAATCTAAACCTTTTAACTTCTAATCCCTATTCTATATGACAGTGTATTTTTCTGAGACATATTGCAATAAGTGAAATCATCTTTATAAGAGTCTTGTGATGAGGCCTATGTTTTAGAAATCTGGGATCTGTGAAATTTTCCCAGTTGCAGAGTCTCCTGGCATCACTGTTTGGTGTGTTAATTTTTAAACACTGTAAACAAGTAATAAGGGCAAAAGTTCCCTTAGATGTGGGAAGGTTCGGGGAGACAGTAGATGGAATGGTGAGTGCTCTTGTGACTGACTGGGGCTTCCTCTCTCACCTTCCAAGGTGGTGTGGCCCCTGCAAGATCCTGGGGCCACGGTTAGAGAAGATGGTGGCCAAGCAGCATGGGAAGGTGGTGATGGCCAAGGTGGACATTGATGACCACACAGACCTCGCCATTGAATATGAGGTATGCATGAGTAGGGGCTTGGCCCCAGGACAGCTGGTATGGGGACTGTCATGGGGGCCCAGGGGCAGCTGGTATACGTGTCATGGGGATCACACCACGTAGCCAGTAAAAGGGGTGTCGCTCAGAGCCCTTTGCATATGTGACTCTCTTGGTCCTCTGAACCATCTGTCTCTCTCCCCCACCACCTTTAGGAAGTAGATTGCATGGCCCAAAACACCAGGCTGTTCTGTAGTCTCCGTATTGATGTATTCCTTCATTCATCTATCCACATGATCAATCATCAGTCATTTGTGACCCATACTGTGTGCTAGGCATTCATAATTCTGGCAAAAACAAGATGAGATTCTTGTCCCCAAGCAGCTCTTAGTCTAGTGGATGGGAATAACAGGTAGACAGATCTCATTGCAGGGTGAGAAGTGCTGAGAGAAGAGGCACATGAAGGAAGGAGGAACTGACTGTTCCTAGCGGGAGGGGGAGGAGACGGAATGCTTCATGGTAGAGAGACCCTCTGAGCTTAACCACACAGGATGATGCATAGAGAAGGACGGGCCGAGGGAACAGCATACACAAAGACGTGAAGTAGTTTAATGTGGTTAATTTGTTTGTGCATTTTTTTCAGCAGATACTTGAGGGTCCCTCAATGCCAGGTACTGTTACTTGGTGCTGAGGATATGGCAGTGAACAAAACTGGCAAAATCCCTGCCTTCATGGAGCCTACATTCTCATATTTTAAATTGGGTCAGCAAACTTCTCTAAAGGACCGGTTGGTAAATATTTGAGGCATTGTAGAGTGGTGGTATCTGCTACAACCATTCAGCTGTCCTTGTAGCTGAAAACAGCCATAGATAGTATGCAACTGAATGGACAGGGCTATTTCATAAACCTTTATTTACAAAGCAGGCAGCAGGCCTGTTTGGCCTGTGGGCTGTTGTCTGTTGACCCCTGTATTAGATAAAAAGTGCTACAGAGAAAAATAAATCTGGAAGACAGGGTGGGAGAGCTGAGCCTGGGGATAGGGAGGGTTTCTTTTTTAAAAGGGTGGGTTAGGGAGGGTCTGAGAAACTGACCGTCGAGCAAGGACCTGAAGAGAGTGAGGAGTGGGGCATGCAGGTCCTTGGAAGAGCCAGCCCCTGAGGTCAGATGAGCCTGGGTTGCTCCCAGACCAGCTGGAGCCATGTGCCTGAATATGCCTGGCGTGTGGGGCATCCTCTGGGCTGTGAAGACCACTGCAGCTGGAGAAGGGGGACAGCAGGTCCATTGTGGCTGGGTGGCCAGAGTGAAAGGTCGAGCCAGGAGTGAGAGGACAAGCAGCTGGGAAAGTCAACTGCAACCAAATTGGGAGGGGATCTCTGGATAGTCACACTTTAGTTAGCCAATTAATTTTCTTTCTGTTTATAGTAGAGATGGGGTCTCACTCTTGCTCAGGCTGGTCTTGAACTCCTGACCTTGAGCCCTCCACCCACCTCAGCCTCCCAGAGTGCTAGGGTTACAGGCGTGAGCCAAGGTCGCATCTGGTGGCCTGTGGGCCAAATCTGGTTCACAGACTCATTTGGTCTGGCCCTCACAGTATTTTAAAGAAATAATGGAACCAGGTGTTCATATTTAAAACTCAGAAGACTTAATGTGAAAATCCAGATTTCTGGTTTTCTTGAAATGTGTTGATATGGCCAGAGTGAGCCTTCACCCCTCCCTCCTTCCTCTGGGTACCAAGTGGCTGAAAGAAGGGCCTGTTTCTTCCTTGAGTTTAGAAGTCCAGGCTTAACTCTCACTACACCAGCTCAAACGGAGATGCTCATCCTTTATAACCGGTCGCCTGTGGCAGGAAATGGGTAGGGGTGGGGGCAGGGGTGAGAACAGGCTGACTGGCCCTTGAGCTGGGCAGGGAGTGGAAGGCGATTACCCAAGGGAAAATCAAGCTGTCCTCACCAGGAGCAGAGGAAATAGATGCTGGGCAGACAAATCCTCTGGTGACTACTGCTGATAGTCATTTGGCCCATTTAGACGCTCTTAGCTTTCCCCTCCCTGTCGGTCCCTCACCCCGGGGCCTGCAGCAGCCTCGGGTGCAAGGGTGTGATCTTCTGGCTGGAGCTTCTAGGGCCTCCTGCGGGTTTATGTGCAGGCTTCAGATGTCCCAGGCCTCCTCCTGGCACTGCCAGACGTGACAGCTTCAGCCTCATCCAGTGTAACTTTTCAGCAGATACCTCCGAGGACCAGTCATGTGCCAGGGACCATGGGAACTGGTACAGCTGCAAAGACAACCCCAGTTTCTGCCAGCAGTGGTCCCGTGAGGTGGTGGGAGTGCCCAGAACCACCCGCACCTGCGTTCCAGGGCGCCTGGTATGAGGGTGGGCAGAAGTCCTGTGGGCGAGCCTGGAAAGTGCAAGGAGGAGTGAATCTTTTTGTGGGATCTCCTCTCCCCTCCTCCCTCTGTCCACTGTCCAGATGCTGTGCTGGTCAGACAGAAAGGCCTCAAGGCCACTGGGCCCATATCACCTGACCTCAGCCCCCTTGTTTTGCCAAACCCTGGGCTGACCTCAGTGCAAGGCCCAGGAAGCTCCAACCAGATTCTTCCTGACCCCTCCGACCCCTTCCTGCCTGCCTTCTGCCATACCTGTTCTAGAGAGCCTGAGCAAGAAGTTCCACTAAGAGATCCTTAGTAACCTCTTGACAGCTTCCTTGAAGGCCTCAAATCCTTGTCCAAATGTTGGATGAAGTTGTTGGAAAAACTGCTGTGAATCATATTCAGGGAATTAGGCGCTTCTCCCCAACCTCTCCTGACCCCCGCCCTACCCCAGCATGCACCCTCAGGTGCATCTCCCTCACAAGAATCCCTCCCCTGTGTGAATATTTTTCTCTCTAATGTTCTATATAACATCATAGACAATTCATTGAGTAATAATATTTCATGGCTGGAATATACGTATTTTAATCACTCCCATTTCCACTGTTTTGAAAGTATTCTAAATAAGGGCTAGAGTGAGTGCCGTGGCGTCAGCCTAGCTCACCGCAACCTCAAACTCCTGGGCTCAAGCGATCCTGCTGACATTGAGCAGTCCTCCCACCTCAGCCTCCCAGAGTGCTAGGATTACAGACGTGAGCCACCATGCCTGGCCTACGTTGACAGTCATTATCATCCATGGTTTACATTGGGGTTCACTCTTGGTGGTGTATGTTCTATGGGTTTGGACCAATGTATAGGAACATGTATCCAGCGTTCTTATATCATACGGAATAGTTCCACTGCCTAGAAATCCTCTGTGCTCTGCCTAGTCATCTCTCCAATTCCTGGCAACTGCTGATCTTTTTACTAAATGTCATGTAATTGGATTTGATTTTTTCAATAATAGTTTTTCCAAGAACCCTCTTGTATCTAAGAGCTTTGACAAGACATTTGGCATCTCTCATTTAAAGCATGGAATCCTTTTAATGCTTTCTCACATATTCACCCTGCTGGGCACAGCACAGGTTGATGCTGTGGGCAGTGAAGGCAAACAGATCTTGTTTCAAATCCTAGCTCCACCACTTAACTTGCTCCATCATCTTGGAACACTCAGCTTTTGAGCCTCCATCTTCTCATTTCTAAAATGGCTCTGCTTAGAGGCAGGAATTTATGAAATAGCAGATGCAAGTGCTTAGTATCATCCCTGACAGTTAAAAGACACCCAGTATATGATAGTGACCTTTTCCTTTGTGCTAATTAACCTGCAGTCAGCCAAGGAGGAGGTTGCTGGCGTCCAGCAGCACCTAGCACTGTGCCTTCCCTTGGTAGGTCCTTAACCGAGTCACACATGGATGAAGTTGGGGTGAGACAGGAGACCTGGCAGGGCCGTTGAGCTCAGTGGTGTTGTGGGGGGGGTGTGGGTTAGTAGGAAGAGACTGCATGCACATACACACTCCTGCCCTGCATTCTCAGGGTCTTCAGCCATGGATAGGAGGTTGCAGGTGGCTTCAGGTAGCAGGAGGACAGGCAGCACATCTTAGCACATCTGTTCTGCAGCCCCTTGGTTCCCTCAGTCCTGCCAGAATTGAGAAAGAAGCTGAATCCTTGGTCCATGGCTGCCTGTCTCTCACACTCAAACGTACATTCCTGAAGGATGTGCCAAGGACCTGTGCGCTTCCATTTAAGGCAGTGTTTACAAGGTCCTGGTTCGTGAGCCAAGCTCAGGAGCAGCAAAGCCACAGCTTCCTCCTTGGGGGTGTTGTGCAGTGTCCTGGAAAACCCAGCTTCCTGCAAGCCCCGGGCATATTGTGTTTGTGTGTGTGAAGCTCAGACTTCAGAAAATCCCCTTGATCAGTAATGACTAGATCTTGGTTATCATAAAAATACATCTGCAGTGTGTCTGCTGTACACATGGCTCCAGCAGGGTCTCCGCATGTCCGAGCAAGTGCAGAGGTTTACACAAGTGAACTCAGGAGCAGCCTTCTTCTGGAGTTCTTATAAACTAAGTCCCCTCTCCAGGCCACCCCAGTGAGTTTAGAGTCCTGCTTAGAAGACCCTTGAAAAAAGATCACTTATGCAGGGTCTTAAAGCATTTATTTTAGTTAAGGAAGTGACAGGATAGTATCCACTAACTGCAAGGTTGGAAGCCTGTAGCTGAGCTCTGTGCCCCAACTTGAAGTTGCAGCTTCGAAGCACCACTGCCTCTGCAGACCACTAGAGGGCGCTGGAGGACACCCTGCGAAGGCCCTGGTGGCTTCAGGAGCGCCACAGAGCGTCCTGGAGCAAGCCCTGCCAGGCCCTGCTCTGCCTGGAGACAAGGGGAGCCACGTGCTGAATGCTTGGCACTTCATGCCACCACCCATGCCAGAGTCTGTGACAAGGACAGCAGCCGAGCAGCGGGGGGTGGTGAGCAGTGACATGTGTAGTCAGCCCCATGCCTGGAGGTTGTCAGCACATCCCTTCTGGGCAGTGTGTCAGCTGCCACCCACATCAGCCATGGGTCAGTCCTTGAAGGGGCCTGAGGCATGGCAGAGGCAGGGACTGTCATCCTGCCTGCTGTGTTTGTCCCCAGAGTCCATGGGGAGACAAAGGAGTGGGGTGCAGGGCCTGCCACATAAAGTCAGTGCATGAGGACAGTGAGATCCGCCAGTCCGTCCTGTGTCTGTTTCTTTCCTTTATAACTACCGTGTGCACCGTTCTTGAAGATTCTAAATCTTAAGCCTGGCTTCCCCGGATGACTCGTGCCAGAGCAGCACTGGGCACGTGTGAAGACCTGGTGTGTCTGTGTCCATTACTTTGTAGTTAACTTGTATGTGAGGAAATCTGCTTATCTTGTTCTATTTATGCGGTTTTCTCAAATGCCCATGAATGCCAGACAGGGAGCCTGGGCAGCAGCGACCTCGAGCTGTGGCCTTGTCTGCATTCCGAGTAATCTATACAGGTCCCTGAGGGAGCCCAGGAAATGCTTCATAGGCCAAGAATGCTCTTCCCATCTGCCTCCAGCCCCCAATATAAGCGTCAAATCGTATATGGCTGAGTCCTCCTCCCACACTGTCCAGTAGGAGTCGGTGAATTTCTGGACCCTGTTAGCCATTCGTGGCAGCGAGTAACGTGGCTTTCACGGGGCTCCGTGTCACGCATTTCCTCTGCAGCCACCATCTGGTGAGTGCCCACTGTTTACCAGGCACACAACCAGTTTCCTACTGCCGGGCGCTGTGCTGAGTCTTTCCCTGCATGGTCTCATTCAGCCCTCGCACCCTGCAGCGAGCACCGTTAGTGTTTCCGCCTTGCTGATGAGAGCACTGAGCCTTAGAGTGAAGAAGTGGGTTGCCCCAGTCCACCTGGCAGGTAGAAGACGATCCGGTCAGCCGGCACCGGAGCCCGAGCTCTCGAGCACTCAGCTCATTCTCGAATCTTTAATCCCTATCCCAGACCCTCAAAGTAGACGTTATCCCTGTTTTAAGGAAGAGGACACTGAGGCTCAAATAGGTGGTGTGGGCCAGGCGCAGTGGGTTATGCCTGTAATCCTAGCACTCTGGGAGGCCGAGGTGGGCGGATTGCTTGAGGTCAAGAGTTTGAAACCAGCCTGAGCAAGAGCGAGACCCCATCTCTACTATAAATAGAAAGAAATTAATTGGCCAACTAAAATTATATAGAAAAAATGAGCCGGGCATGGTGGCGCATGCCTGTAGTCCCAGCTACTCGGGAGGCTGAGGCAGGAGGATCCCTTGAGCCCAGGAGTCTGAGGTTGCTGTGAGCTAGGCTGAAGCCACGGCACTCACTCTAGCCTGGGCAACAAAACGAGACTCTGTCTCAAAAAAAACGAAAGGTGGTGTGACCTGGCCAAGCCCCTGGCTAGTGAGTCCAAAGCCTGGATTTGGACTCCCCCAGCTCTGTCTCCCCTGGGCCAGGCTGCCCTTCGGTTCCTCCCCCAGCCCTGGCCTGCAGCTGCATGGGTTATTTTCATCTCTCCTGTCATTCCAGCCAAACCACTGGGCCAGTGACTCAGTCTCGTGGTTGAGGGGGGAGGGTACTACTGAGAGCCTGCAGTGGAAGAAGTTTCTCCGGTGGGTGGGCCTCGAGGCCTCGCTGGCCCCTGCACCAGGGAATGGGCCACTTTCCTTTGGCCCCGCCCACCCGTGGCTTTGGGCAGTCACTACCCTGGATAAGCTACCAGCTTACCCACACAGGCTGAGGAATGGCAGTTGAGAAGAGTTCACCTCCAAGTGACATTGACTCCCCTGTCCCCTCCATCCAGGTGTCAGCAGTGCCCACCGTACTGGCCATGAAGAACGGGGACGTGGTGGACAAGTTTGTGGGCATCAAGGATGAGGACCAGCTGGAGGCCTTCCTGAAGAAGCTGATTGGCTGACAAGCAGGGAAGAGTCCTGATTGTCTGGGACCCCCATGGTCCCAGGGAGGGACCCCAGTAGAACTCACAGCCCTTGTGTGCTGGCCCTTCCTGCCACCTCCCTCTTTCTGGCCCCTGTGGGCCTGTGCTTTGGAGACCAGCCTCCAAACGTGGGCCACACATGCTCCTGAGCCGCTGACCGCCAGGGTGGCCGTTGGAGGAATGGTGCTGCTGCTGACCTGGGACAGCGCCTTGCCACCCGCCCTGTCTTGTCTGCTCCCTCTAGGGCTTGTTGCAGTTCCCGTGGCGCTGGGGGAGAGCCTGGGCCAGCCATAGCGTTCCTGGTCACAACACCTCGGGCCTCACTCACCTCCTCGGTCCCTCCTGATGTGAACCTCTGCTTCCTGCATCTTTCTCTCCTGCTGCAGTTTTGTAAAAAGAATCACAACGAAGAAACCCAAACAAGTGAGAGTGATACATAATTCTCTCATTTTTTGTAGGTCTGTAATAAAGAACTTTATGTGATCCCTTCTTCCTCCTGCCATGAAGAACTGGCCCGAGTCCCCCCAAAAGAGCCACCACTTCTTTCCCTTAGGCACAAGGGCAGAGGACAAGCACGGGGCTGGGGGAGCCCTGGAGACCTTTGACTGGGGAAGGGTCTGGACGCCAGCTTCCCTCACACTAGCTGGCCCTTTGGTTCTCTGAGCAGGAGGCTTAACTGTGAACAGATCAGATCAATAAAGCTAGAGGTTTGCACTGTTGGCAACTCCCGTTCTGTCTGGGCTCAGAGCACTTGGGACCCTTTTCCAGGGGGCTCAACCACTGTCCGTGTTCCTGCACCCCCTCCCCATAACCAGCCCCTCCTCTTAGTAACTTGTCACTGATGGCCGCTGTTCTGGGGACACCTTCACACATGGTCCTTGTGCCCTCATAAGGCAAGAGGCTATTGTCCCCGTTACCCAGGTGAAGGCACCGAGGCTCACGGGATGCAGATTTAGAGTTTCGAGGTTGCCTCTGGAGCCTGGGCTTTTTTTTGAGACAAGAGTCACTCTGTTTCCCTAGCTAGAGTGCCGTGGCATCAGCCGAGCTCACAGCAACCTCAAACTCCTGTACTCAAGCGATCCTCCTGCCTCAGCCTTCCGAGTAACTGGGACTACAGGCATGTGCCACCATGCCCTCTAATTTTTTCTATATATTTTTAGTTGGCCAATTAATTTCTATTTTTAGTGTAGACAGGAGTCTTGCGCTTGCTCATGCTGGTCTCGAACTCCTGACCTCAAATGATCTGCACACCTCAGCCTCCTAGAGTGCTAGGATTAGGCGTGAGCCACTGCGACTGGCCAGGAGCCTGGGGTCTTGCAGCTGATCCCCTCAGTCCTCCTGGGGCCTTCTCCGCTGACTGGCTTCTGCAGGGCTCAGGCCATCCTTTCTGTATGTGCCACAGGAACTCCTGGGCCTCGAGACCAGATGACCTTTCCTGGTTGCCAGCTCCCCTTGGCTGTGGAGGAGTTTGCAAGGGCAACCAGGCTTGCCAGCCAGGAAAGCCTTCCCTCTGCCCGCTCCCAGGGCCAGGCTGCCATTCTGGCTCGGGTCCCTGGAGGAGGTACCAGCTTGCTGCGAGTCTTGGGCACTCGGGAAGGCTGCCGTGACTGGTGCAGGACAGTTGGGTTGGCTCAGAAGAGGGGCCTGTGGCCTCTGCAAGACCACAGGCCCAGGATCTGTCGTAGGCACATGGAAATGGACAAACCAGCAACTGGTATTAGTGAAGAAGGAGGCTCGTCTAGTGAGCGTTCTGTGAAGGCCAAGAGTGTAAGATGACAACAGCCATGTCAGGGACACCCACGGGCACCCACAGGTTCTGAGCATCTTACCTGCTGCTCCCATGGGGAGGTGGTGGCATCGTCACTCCTGCGTTCCACCTGAGACCCGCTCCAGTTGAGGAGCGTGTCTGAGGTCAGGAAGCCGGTGAGTGGCTGTGCCGGGATTCAGGGCCAGCAGTCTGGCCCTGCTCCTAAGCGCCACCCTGGCCACCTGCTGTCATCTGATAAGTGTGTGGATGATCTGTATCTCGCAGGCAGGTACGGCAGGTATACCTCAGCTCATTTTACACAAGCGGAGCGATCAGAGGCTGCATAGCTTCTGCAGGGACAGTGAGTAAGGGGGGCAGGGCAGAGCGGGCACCTGCCTCCAGAACCTGGCCCTTTCCACCCAGCCCGGCTACCGCTCCTTAAAAGGCACCGTTTGCCAAGCACTTTTTATACACATTACCTCATTTAATTCCACTCTTGTGAGGCAGGTATTATTTCCATATCGTAAGTAAAGAAACCGGTTCAGAGAGATTGACTTGCCCAGGGTCATGTCTAAAAGGTGACGATGCCAAACGTGAACCCAGTGGGGGTCTGACCTCTCTGCCCCGGGTAGGCGTGGAGAAGGGCTGGCGGAGGCCTCGGGCCAGGGCCAGGGCCTCCACGCTGCCCCAGCTCCGTGTCCTTAAAAGGTGCGCTGCCCCGCGAGGTGAGCCCGTGGCCGCAGCTGTCCCAGGTTGGCAGTCTGTGCCCGTGAGGCTGTTCACGGCCGTGAGTCACTGGCTGTGAGCACACAATCCTCTGGGTGATCCTGTTTGACCAATTCCACGGCGCTGACCTCACCAGGATGCCGCTGGCTCTGCGTCGTCACCCTCTGTCGCCCTCTGGGTGCCTCGTTGGGCTTCCAGGGCTGTGGAAGGGGTTGGCACCTATTGAAAGCCTTTAGCTGCCAGGTTGGGAAGCCCAGGAAAGGGGCCAGGCCACAGGCTCCCCAGAGCCCCAAGACCTCCCAGAGTGTGGCTGTTGGACATTTATTCTGATACCGAGTGTACCCCGTTGCCTGCAGGGAGCAGGCAGGGATGGAAGCTTGGGTCTGTTGGGCTGGCTCCGGGACATCCATGTCCTGGGACCCTCACTGCCCCCGCCAGGCAGCAGCTCCCGGAGGAGACTGAGTGCGAGGGACGGCAGTGGGCAGGAATGGCGCCAGCAAGGAGCGTTGGCATGTCTCAAAGCGTCAGGAATGAATGGTCGTCACTAACCCCAGTCCCACCTAAAGGTGTAGAACATGGGAGGGAACCCGACCCTGCCCTCCAGGAGCTCACGCCCCAGAGAGGCCAGAGCAAGGGGGTGCAGGTCATTGCTGCGCTGGCGTCAGGGCGGCTTGAAGGGACCTGAGGTTATCCAGCTTCCCTCGAGAGGGCACGGGGAGGGACTTGCCCAGGTCACAGCACCTTTGTGGTAGGGCTACCAAGGGCCCTGACCGCAGCCAGCCCTAAACTGAAAACACGGCTTGGCCTTCGCCTCCCTTGGCTTCAGAGGAAGGGAGTGAGGAGGGCAGACCCCGGGGCCAGGACCTGTGGGGTCAAGAGGATGTTGACAGCGCTGCTGCCACTGCCTTCCCAGCAGTCCCTGCCCCGGCAAGGGGACCAGGGCCAGCTCGGCCCCCACCCTGGGGAAAGCTGCTCCGGAAATTGAAAGTAACTGACCAGGCTGCGGAAATCCCACACGTGTGGGCCCTGGGCAGGGAAGGGCCCAGAAAACAATGTTGGGGCTGCATCCACGGAGGGCAGGATGCCGTGTGACAAGCAAGGCTTCCAGGCATGCTGTCGCGGTTCCTCCCCGCTGCCTGGAACACCATGGCCCCCAGGGATGGAGCCTGTGGCTCTGCAGGAAGTCTGGGCCACTGGTGGTTCTAAGGAGCCTCACCTCTCCAGCCACCTCCTGGCAGCCCTTTGGTAGCTGGGAGCCACCAGCAGCCACTCCAGGGTCAGTAAGTAGGGCAGGAAGAATCGGATCTCGTTGTGTGGCCTTGGGCAAGTTGCTTCACCATTCTGAAGCTCAGTTTTCCCAACAGTAAAATGGGACTGATAAGGATGGCTAGCACTTACTGAGTGCTGTCAACACGTCATCACGTTTCAGTGGTAAAAGCAAACCCAAAGGTAGGACTGTTACCATCGCCATTTTACAGATGAGGAAACCGAGGCTCAGAGAGCTTAAGTAACTTGGCACAGCTAGGCGTCCGAGCTTGGAATTGATTCCACAGTCTGTTCCTGCCCATTAGCTACACTGCTTTCTCCCTGGGGCAGGTTGTTCAGCATTTTGAGCACCAGCTGCAGACTGGGGCTAATGAGAGTCACTGCCGGGTGGGGCATGGCGCAGCACTGGAAGCGCCTGGCACCTAGCAGAGCTCCAGGAGCAGTAGCTGCTTTGCTGTCCCCTTCCCCCAGGTGCCCCTTCTCTAAGCTACATCCTAGACAGGAAACACCAGGCTTCCCGGGATAAGGCCCCCAGCACCCGCCATGGGAGGGGCCGCCGCTGTGCCACTGAGGGCCTTACATCCAGGCCAGCGTCCTGGCCCTGAGCCCCGCCAGCCACCGCCACCTCCTCCTGCTCTAGAGCCTGCTCCTCGCGCCTGTGACTTGGGCGACCCTTGGGAGCTGCAGGTGGTGACCTCACCGTTGGGGAATGCCCACAGGAATTCACCCTGAACCCGGTCCTCCATTCTCCATGCCTCCCAGGCTCTTCTGGTCGCCAACGGAGTGTCTCTGGGGAGCTAGGACACCCCTGCTACACAGCTGCTAATTACCAATTGAAGGCGGGCCAGCTCCCCACCTCCAGCCAGCGGACTGGGCCAGCTCAGACAAGCAGCTGTCTGTCTCTGGTCTGCTGCGTTCCTCAACCGCACAGCAAGACAGCAATCTTGTGTCCTCCCCTCTGTGCCCCACACTGTCAGGTGCGCCGCCTATGCTTTCTCTGACCCTCCTAATACCCACCCGAGGGAGGGCTCGCCGTTCCGTCCCCTGCTCTCCCCCATTTGCCTGATGCTGCCCCCAGGAGGGTCAAAGGACCCTCTTCTCATGCCCAGAGTGGGGACTGTGGGCCTCTTATCTGTCTCTCCCCTCCGCACCCCCAGTAGGAGGCAGCAGACTCCCTTTGCTCAGGGGCCACTCGTAAGGCCGGAATATTCTCTCCAGTCCAAACACGGCAGCCTCCACCAGCAAGTGCCTGGGAGTGCCACTCTGGGCCTGTGGGTGCCAGGAGTTAGAGAGGACACGGCTCCTGCCCTCAGGGTGCTCCAGCTCACACTGCGACACGGCAGCGACCCCACCTGTCTAAGGAATAGACCTGCAGCGGAGACAGTGGCGGCAGGATGCAACGTGCAGACTGACTGCAAGCGCGGAGAGGAGCACATCTGCAACAGCAGGCTGTCGCGTGGGCCATGGAGAGGAGTGACATTGGGGAAGGGTTTTGAAGAACTGAAGGGGAGTCGGCCTGAGAGGCCACCAGCGGGAAGAGCATTCCAGGCAGAGGGAACAGCACTCACACAGACTCAGAGGCAGAAAAGTGCACGCTCCGTCCAAGGAGGGAGGCTTCGATGGGGCTCCAGTCCCAGCCTCTCCCTCTCTAGCCAAGCCTCAGTTTTCTTTTTTTTTTTTTTCACAAACCGAGAACTTTTATGATATTTTCAGAGTTAACAATTGATTCAAACACTCAGAAGCAAGGTGGACCCGTCCAAATGCACGTGTGGCTCACCGTGGTCTTTGCGACTTCTGCAGATGGGATGGACCCAGAAACGCCCCGGATGGTTCTGTTACAAACAGGGATGGAAAGGTGGAGAGATAGGTTGCAGTCGTAGTGATGGTGCCACAGTCTCCTCTTTGCAGTCTCCTAACTTTCAGAGAACATGAATGGTTGTGCAGCTGCAGTTCTGCTCTTACACTAGGTATTTACGTCTTTGTTT